ATTGCACATTTTCCAGGAACTTTTCAGAGAAATTCCGCCATCATTATATGTCATCGACACGAAGGAGTTTTTCAGTCGTCTTGAAGAAATTGTCAAACAGGAATGGAAACCGCATACAAGTAAAACAGCAATCCAGGTAATCTTGCACAGAATGTCAAGGAAATTGCACAAACTATCGTTCACTGCATCAGAATTATAGAAAGAAATCTAAAACATGTCATGTACCAAAGTTGAAGTTAAATGGCTGGAAACATACACAATATTTGTTTTAAATCACTAATTGATTTCTAGAAAATGAACTTCAGAATTTTAGTATTTTAATATTATTTTAGAGTAAATCATTGCTCCTAATAAACACTGGCATTGTTAAAGATTAGGACAAATTGTGAAGATTATTGTGTTATACTTTCAAAGAAGAAAACCTTACATCAAATTAGCATCCGTATGCAAAATTGAAGTTAGAAATGTATATCGAACTTATTGTATAGGGTAAGCTGTTTTCCCAGCTCCACTTACTTGTTTGTTCCATTTTCTCCAATAGGGATGACATTCGCCATGAGCTGGGGGAAAATGGCAGTATGGAAAATTTCATAGTGACGAAGAAGAACACCCCCGCCGGAGAAAAGTTGGGCTTTTACATTTCTGGAAAACCTCGAAAGATTCCTTCCATCCTCTGGCAAAACATCCCAAATATAGGTCAAAGAAAAGGATTATTGAATTCCCAGTTTACTTGATGCATGCTTGGAGAAATAAACTGAGGTTTTGAGCGTTTGAAACATACTACAAATCAAAGTACACTGTACCCAGTTTATAATGGGGCCCACTGAACGAGGAGGACATTCCACTTCAGTTTTTCATAAACATGTAGGCTTGAAAATCTCAGCTCCTTATTTCGAAAATCACTCGGTTTAACATCCTCATGCATAGGGAACATTAAGTAACGGAAAAACTGACAGTTTTATTGTGTTAGATTTGTCGGGGCTTGCAACTCTCACGGTAGATGGCTTATTTCGTTGGGTCGGTGACACATTTTTTACCATTAATGATCTGAGGTTTTCTTGTTCAGACAGTGTTGTAGATTTTGGCGTGAAACTCACACGGTTGATGGCTCTGTTTGTTGGGTGGGTCACAAATATTTTCACATTATGGTGTGAGTGTATACATTATGATGTCTGAGTACAAAAATTCGTTTTCTTGCGAGTACGAAGACCAGTAAGAGTACATTCTAAAGAACGCAGGGGCGAATCTAGCGTTCGGGGGGGGGGGGGGGGTCGAATGGGGGTTGAGTGAACTTGCATTTTTATGGGGGTCCAGCGCATATGCTCCCGGAAATTTTGAAATATATGATGGCTTTCTCCGGCATTCTAAAGCAGTTTTAGAATACATTTAGGCAGTTAAGCATTCCATTTATTTTATTTTTTGACCCATTTTACTAGTATCATTACATAATTCAGCGGCTGAATTGAGTTTGCATCCCCCCATGTCCGCCACTGGAACGAATACGAATTCTTGTTTTGTATATCCTGATATCGTTAAAATGATTGTGTCTGTTCCCCCAAGGATGTGATATTCAAATCAGGACAGTTTCAGAGCTGCAGCGTGGTAGGATCAAGCGGCATCCTGAGAGGATTTGGGTGTGGCAAAGAGATCGACAGATCGCAGAGTGTCTTCAGGTAGGGTTTGCTCGGAAAAAAGAACGAGAGAAACACCAGGATTTGTCAAGTCATTCCGGTTGTGCCTCGTAGCAAGACAGAACCACATGACGTCATTTCACCCACAAGACGTCATTCATGCTTTCCCTTCGGACATTGCTGCCATAGCAACCTTCTTTTTACCTCCGAAATCCACCAATGCGTAGCCCCACATCAATGTCCCGTTATTTCATTCACAAGCATCGAGCCCGATTTGAACAACAGTGAGTCCTGCAAAATCCCCTCAAACCTCTTGATGGATTTGAAAGATCATGAAAGAGACTCAAAAAAGACTGTAACCTACTCGTTTGAATCGAGTTTAGTTACAAATCTTTTAAATTCATTCAAAGAAACGAACCTTCGCACAGTCAAAGAAACCGGAGCTGCAATGCTTTTTACCGATACACAAGTCTTTTGATTGAGCCAATTTACTGCCCAAACAACGATAAGACTCCCTCGCACAGCACTAGCTGAACATGGTGGCACGAATAGCACAAATTATGAACTCTTTTTCGCAATATGGATCGTTCATGTTTTATTTCAGCTGTGACATTGATTAACAAAAGCAATAAGCGGGATATTGCAGTTCTTCCTCAATATTCAAACTATCACTTTATAGCGACTGTGATGAATTATATTAAAATGTATAGAACTAAAAAAAATCAATATAAAAGAGGTTTAACCCTCTATCCTACAATATAACTACTGTAGACATTCGTTCTTTTTAAAAATTGAAAGTTTATGCTTTAGAGCAGTTTCGCACCCAGGATTTAGAGCAGTGGCGCACCCAGGATTTAGATTTAACTTTTAGACATTTGAATATTTCCAAAAAAAAATTAGCCAAAAATGTGTGGCCCAGGAAAAAAAAAAGTTTTGTTTTTGTTTTTGTTTTTGGGGAGGACTATTTTTACGTTGGTGGCACCATTTACACCCCTATTATACTATAGGCCACAAACATATCACCATGGTAAAATCGTGGGACTACAAAAAAATAATACAAAATGGCAACCTCTTGGGGGGGGGGTTTCAAGCCCCCAAGCCCCGCCCCCTTGGGTGCCACTGCTTTAGAAACCCATGATCAAGCAATGCTAAAAAAAAAAAAAAAACTGTGTAGAATTATATAACAACATTCATCTTCTGCAGGCTCAACATCGCCCCGGTGGAGGGATTTGAGGCAGACGTTGGAAGCAAGACAAACTTGACCACCTTGAATCCTTCTTTTGTAATTTCCAAGTACGTTTGTTTTCTAAGTTTGTAAGCATGTACCATATGCGGCACAGATGTAGGATTTGGGGGAAAAGCCCAACCTTTACTTCTTTTGCTCCGAGTGACTTCATTCTTTTTAGGAATGTGACCCCATTTTGTTTTAAGTTTAAATACTAGTAGTGTGTAGGGAAAGACAAGACAAAAGAATTGTATGCATAATGCACAAAACAATAGACTCATTTGCATATCAAGGAAACTAATTAGCATATCAATGGATATGTTATAGCATAATAAAAGAGCGCATCGGCGTGTGTAAATTTTATCGGACAAAGGATGGGTCTGAAAATTTTATTGCTGGACAAAGGGGGGACCCACCCCCTAGATGGAATATCGGACAAAGGGGAGACTTGAAATGGAATATCGGACAAAGGAAAACTTGAAATGGAATATCGGACAAAGGGGGGACCCACCCCCTAGATGGAATATCGGACAAAGGGGAGACTTGAAGTGGAATATCGGAGACGCTAGATGGAATATGGGACAAAAACGAGTGTTAAACGACGTTTAACACTCAAACGTCGTTTGAAAAGACCAAGAGTATCATTTGTATTCATTCAAGCAGTGTGCAAACAGTGAATAAATAGGTATTTGTAGGGAGTTATAGAGTGCAGTGGATCCAGAGGTGCCAACTAAACATAGCGTTCATGGTGTTGGATAGAGGAGGTCCGACATAGGAAACCCTGCATAGGCAGCCCTGGAGCCGCTACCACAAACAGTAGAGGAGTCCATTCAGTTTTACTGAATAAAAAAACCAACCGGCCCTTTTTCAGGGCCACACATTTTCAAAAAAAGCCAAATCTGCGTCTGATTAACCTGTGTTTTCTTTCTTTTTTCTTTTTTTTTGAGGGGGGGGGGTATGGTTCACTGCAGCAAAAAATCGAAGGTTATGATCAAGACCGCAAACTCGACAGGCGTTCAATAATCGTTCAATCGTGGCATTTTTATATTCGCGTCCTTTCCACTCAGTGCGTTAAAACATTGCGGGGGATTCACAAAATTTGTTCTGCTCTAAATGTCTACACATAGCGGCTCTTGATAGACCGAGATTCATCATTAACTTCTCCCAAAGTCGTTCACACTCTCCAATTCCCCCAGAGAAAAACTCTTTTTTTTACAAGATTTCTAGCGAGTTGGCTTAATTGGCGCTCTGTTGGTGTAGCCTCCATTTTTTTTATTCACTGTTAGCAGCACACTGCTTGAACGAGAAGGTAAAGGCTAGTCTTTTTTTCGTGTCAGCATCCGGGGGTGCGTCACGTGTCCGGGTAAGCGCGTGGGACTTGACTAAAGACTAGGACGGCACATAAAAAGGGACCCAAACTCGCAATCATAATTATGGAACTGTTTGTCTCATTCATTCTTTGGGATAGCCGATAGAGGGGGCTATTTATTTGTACAGCGCTCAACCTGGATACGCACTTTTAGCCAATCAGGAGTGACATTCAGTACGCGCATCACGCGCGCGTTCATGGCAACGTAAGAACGTGTCGATGGATTTGGCATGTAATCCATACATTCCAAGACAATGTTCTTGTAAAATAAGACCCACACAGCCTTCTTGGAAAGCCGGCGAGCTAATTGACATCGAGGAAAGTGCATCAATTTCTGATAAATGTGAGTGTTTCCCGACCTTTTATTAGTTTCAGCGCCGTTACTCCGCACATCCGCTGTGTACGTGCGTGTGTCGTCAGATGGTCACTTCCATTTTACTCTCGGGTGAATAGCATTAGCTCTGCTCCAGCACGCATACTTTAGGCCCAAAGGCGGATCCGGGGGGGGGGGGGCGCCAAAGGGGGCCATGCCCCCCCCCCAAACGAAACCAATTTTTTTTTTTTTTTATGTGACATCTCAATATTAGGCAGGCAATGAGTACACCACCATCTTTTCCTCAAAAAAACATTGAAGTGGTCAGAAATTGCCTCAGAGATCGCACCACAGAGCATCTAGAATCCAAAAAAAAATTCGGGGCCCTTAAGCGGGCCCCGAACCCCAAAACAATTTTTGGCCCCCCTCCAAAATTGTGTTCTGGATCCGCCCTTGCTTAGGCCTAGCCTAAGCCTAACAAAACAGGCCCTATGACTATGAAAAACTTGTCAAAGCTTTTACATTGTTGGGTATGCAAGATAATTGCAATGAAACCTCATGTGAAAATGGGTTGGCCGTTGAATTTCTTAAAATAAAACCTTCAAAGAAATGAAACAGTCCATATGACCAAATATGGTAATTGGATGTCCCCGAAACGCGACCAACAACACCGTACGGTGAACTTCTTTTGAGAGGACCATGTACTTACACAAAATTTGCATATTGACCTTTTATTCAAATATTAATCGGATATTCATGAGCCATTCTTGCATATGCCGTGTGAACAAATTGTATAATGAGGTTCAATGGGTCACGACACGGCGCGGAAGATAGTGTTGTGATTTGCTTGAACAAAGACCCATAAACATTGCGCGTGTTTTGGTTAAAACATGCAAGTCGAACTTCAAGGATATTACTAACACAAAAGATTCACAGTTTGTTACAATTTTCTCACAAAATGATCTTGAATAACTGTAGTTTCAGATACCGAGTGAACAAATTGTGCGGAGTACTTCAAATGAGCATTTTACAGTGATTTAAAAATGACAAAGCATTCTCGGCATCGAATTCTACACGCCTATCTCTGTTCCATCGTTGGCGGCGCCCTAAGTGAGACAATCAGCTCCATATGAAGTTATTCTAGAACAGATATTCCCAACATTAACAGGAAACTCACGATTAACGTTCAGTTTCAGTATTGACAGACGTGTGTTACCTGAACCAGTCCCTGTACAATAGGATACAACAAATCGTGCACCAAGTTATACTGGTAGGACGGTTGAAAGTCACCGATTCCATACAGTAGCGATGGCGAGATGGGTGGAACGCGCCGGCAGCACGGGTAGATATTGCGGCTTCTCATTGTGGATTTTCCGTGCATGTAGTCGGATATCGCGGAGTCGTATCTGCAGACTTGCTTTTCTTATATCTGTGGTTGCGTTCGGTGCTACCATTTTGTTTTTTCTGGGCGGTTTTCACGCAACTGAGACCAGGCAGGAACATGTCTACAGTCAGGAGTTGAGACTAGCTACCGGTAGACCTACTCAACCCAGGGTGAATACTGCCTCTTCTCATCGTAACACATCGAGGACTTCGAGGTAAGATGGTCCGTGTTCCATTGCAAAAGATGAAGCAGAAATGAAAATGGCAATCTAATGGAAATCGAATCCACAATCGGGGATAGTTACAAACATCAATGATCACGGAAACTTACGCACTGCAAAATTGCAAAACCAGTGTGACAGACTAAAACTCAAATGGGAAGGATTTGATTTGATTTGATTTGATTTAATTTGATTTGATTTGATTTGATTTGATTTGATTTGATTTGATTTGGTTTAATTTGATTTGACTTATCTGCAATTTCCACATAATAATGATACAGATTAATCAAGATTTAACAAGAAAAACAAATTATCTAGAACTGCAAATTACAAATGAAACAGAGAGTCCCCAATCAGTCATTACAGAACTGAGCCCAATCTAATGCATTTTCTCAAACCTCATCGGTTTCTGAGGTTCAAGCCTAATGAAGCTTGCAGTGCCTGCAGCGGATTACCTGATGTTTTAGCATGTTTAGACTGATAAGAGCCTACTTGTGGTCAGTTGTAACTGATCACTAGCTAAGAGCAGTGACTTGCAAGGCGTGGTCAGTATAGGCGTTGTATAGGCGTGGTCAGTATAGGCGTTATGACTTGTAATCACTTCTGCACTAAAAGTAGGATAGCATGTACATGTACATTGTGTATGTACAATACAGCTGTGTGATTCAGGTCGCTGAAGCATAGAGCAAGGAGCAGTTTTACTTGGAGCATTCTTGGATGCTTGGAGCAAGAATAGCGATCATGGTTAGCATTGGTTAGGAAAATATTATCAAGATCGAGACGACTTTGACGTGTAATTATATGAACTTTGGGAATATTTTTCGCGTGCTTGTCTGAACACTTTAACTGGCCAACCGAATGCTATTATTGGGTGAGTAAAAAAAAACTATTGTTAGATGAAAAAATACTGAAATTGCTCAATCCGTTCAGAGAATATCAACATTTTGACGCAATGACCCCACAACCTGTTTCGTCACACACACACCTAAACAATTATTGTGTGTGACTGTTATGAACAACAAAGAAATTGACTCAGAATACTTGTTTCAACAACTGCCAACAACTGTAGTATACAATGTCTTTATTTACAACCCTGGTTAGGCAAACAATACGAATTATAAAATCTTTTTTTGGTGCTACATATTTTTTTGTTTAATATGAAATATATTTTTTGGGGGTTTGGGTTAACATCTTAATCATTGCTTCACACGGGCATAATGCTGACCACGGGGTGTAAAGGGTCTGTGTGCGGAGTATTGTGTGTTGCGTAACGTCAATTTGATGACGTCTAAGAGATTTATAAAATAACACCTGTTGTCTCTATTATTATTAAAGTGCTCAGTAACTCTGAATTCTTGGAATCTAGCAGCTTTTTGTGGCAAAGTACACTGACATTGAAGTACCTGTAACTGACTCAAAGCCGCCTCGCTTTACTGACATAAAACATGGGCAAATCTCACTGATGGCCTTCGCACGCAATGTGTTGTGCTAGGTTGGTCATACTTATCGGCATATTTAGAACATATGCCGAATGGCCTTTGAGTCCCTGCGAAATGCAGAAATTATATGTGGGTTTTTTTTCGAATTTAATTTCTGCACAACGTGGACGCCATTTTGGGGCCATACCTTTACAGCGCAGTTTAAACGGGGCGTCTTAGGCATTGAGAGGATCTGATAAATAATGATAAAAGATGTATCGTCAACATATTTATGTTGTCAAGGGAAAATCTGGCTGCTGCCGTCGTTAATGCGGCACAGTTTCATCTCTGTTGTGTATTTAAATGAAGTAGTTTATTCAAGTGGAAAATGTCCAAATTCTTCCCACAATAACTTCGCCTTGATGACGTCACCGTTTTGGAACTGAAAAAATAAGTTAAATTGTACAAGAAATGTTTGTGGCCAACACTCGTAAATGTATGGTCATAGCTTAAAACAATAAATCTTCCTTCATGTGTCTCTAGAGGGACCCCTATTTAAAAGATGACGTTATCATCATTTGTTTAATGTTTGGCGTACCACTCCTGACATTTTAGTAATTTAGTTGGTTGTACACAAAATAATGCTCCTTTTTTGGTTCCTTTCATTTATTACTGCATTTATTACTCCAGGAACCCAGAAAGTGAAGGTCACGTGACTTATGTTTGAAAATCAGAATGTTGCCCAAGGTTTTGTCCACTAGATCACAAAATATCCCGAAATACATCCGATCGGAATGTTTTTCGTATACATGCCTATATATATTTGTTTTTCACTAAATCAAAAAAACTAATTGGGAGGTTGTATATTTATAGTTACTGATTAAAATAAATGCCAAACCTGAAAATGTGCTGTTCTAGCCCAAAATAACTCCACATGCACTTTGTGCAAAAAAACATCTGCAGCTCTGTCCTGGATTCGTGGAGCTTACCGCCGATGGGTGAGGGTTAAAGGTTGGCGCAACCTCAGCGCAACGGAGCATAAAATGTTGTATATGGCCAACATAAGATGCTTAATGTTTGGGTTGGCCGTCGGTTGCCCATTGGTATGACGTCACAAAACACGTGGTCCATAGTCAGGCAGCACTGAGTGACCCTTCGCTCCAGCAGAGAACTGCCAAAACTTAACTTCATGCATGTATTATTCACGATGGATTCCCGCTTTGAATTGCACAAGGAAATTGAAATAGCATTGAATTTATTATTTTCTCATTAAACCAACAATTATAACAGTTATCAAGGAGAAGATGTGGTAAAAAAAACTAGGTATGCTAATATCAACAAGAGACGACTGAGCCGATTTCACGAAACAGCGTACAATAGAACCAATTTGTTGTGTGCACCTTTTTAAAAACGTGTTTTCTTTTCTTTTGTTTATTTAAAGAACGTATTATTGATCTTTGTAAACTTCATTTTTGTTCGGTAACTCTTCTTGAGTTTAGAACTCTGCTTTGGTCCGAATAATCATGGCAATGAATGTGCTAAATTGTGCTTGGGGACACAAGGAAAATGCTTTAGAACACACCAAACTAGTTCACTTTTATAAAATTTTAAATTGATTGATAGAGGACAAATGTGATATCTGAATTCTGCCATTCCGCAACAGCCTTGACGAATTTAATATGTAATGACAAATATTCTTGACACCTAACGACTAAAGAGGTTAACAAAACTTGGAAATTGCATGGTGAATGACTAATTGGCTTTGGTAAAAGCGTGTGAATTTGAATTTGGACGCAATTGAATGTTAGAGCTGGCGAATAAGGAACCTAACGACTAAAGAAAATTGCATGGTGAATGACTAATTGGTTGTGGTAAAAGCGTGTGAATTTGAATTTGGACGCAATTGAATGTTAGAGCTGGTGAATAAGGAACCTAACGACTAAAGGAAATTGCATGGTGAATGACTAATTGGTTGTGGTAAAAGCGTGTGAATTTGAATTTGGACGCAATTGAATGTTAGAGCTGGTGAGTAAGGAACCTATAAACGACTAAAGCAAATTGCATGGTGAATGGGACTAATTGGTTTAGAAAAGAAAAGCGTGTGAATTTGAATTTGGACGCAATTGAACGTTAGAGCTGGTGAAAAAGGAACCTAACAACTAAAGCAAATTGCATGGTGAATGGGACTAATTGGTTTAGAAAAGAAAAGCGTGTGAATTTGAATTTGGACGCAATTGAATGTTAGAGCTGGTGAATAAGGATAACCAGTGACATGTGTCTGATCCACACACAAATATCTTATTTCATTCTCCAATTGTTCGAGTAAATCCAGAAATGGTTGAACCCCTTGATTACTTGAGAGTTGTATTGATTTATCGGTGTAGTTGGCTCGACTAACACACGAGGCACTTCAATTCAATTCAATTCAATTCTATTCAACTTCACATTATTTCCATGCTTCATGAAAGCAAGGAGGAGAATGTTGGCAGGCATGTGGAGTGGACGAGGAAACCAGCAAACATGGCAACAGCCAGGACCCGGGTTAGCGATTATATAACTACTACGTGCCAATAAAAACACGGTCCTTTTTCTGATCCTAAATAACTCAGTTGTTTACCCGAATGCAATAAACCAGAGTTTCAGATCAAAAGAAGGCATGACACATCTTATGGAGCGAGTTTCATCAGCTTTGTGCAAGATGGTGAGATTTAAACGCCATACGAAAAAAATTACTTACTTCCAGAATGTCGATACAGTGCTGGAGACGATGGCGGAAGGCGCGTGCTGCGGCAAAAAGATTCTTAAAGAATGCAGGATCACCCCTGATGTCATTGCACTCCTCCTCGCGTGCATTCCTTCAGAAGCTTACGGCCGCAGAGCGAGGCTGCCTTCCGCCACCGGCTCCAGCGCTATATCGACATTTAGGGGACGCCAAGTCGAAAGTGGCAGATTCTGAAAGTGACTATTTTTTTCGTATGACCTTTTTACCTCCCCCTCTTGCACAAAGCTGATGAAACTCGCTCCATACCATTTTGTTATGCTCTATTGACAAGATCTGAAATTTTGGTTATTTCTATTGGTAAATAACAGAGTAAGTTAGAATCAAGAGTAGGACACGAATATTTTAGGCTATACAAAAATATTCATGAACCATGCGCGTATATCTTGGGCAATTCATCGAATTGATAAAAAATAGGTATGAAACGAAGGATATAGCTAAAAGTTAAATCTTCCTTCGCTAATAATTTTTAAGCATCTCCTGAAATCTAAGACAATTGCCACACAAAAGAAATAAGACTCAATGTGGTCCTCTCACTATATAGATCAGACACATGGCCCGGATACAGAAAGATTATGGAGGCCAGGCTTGATTTCAGGATAATTGGACGCATTTCTAATTATGTTTCCGTGAACGCACATGCCCCAAATCTATAATGACTGCACTCTTGGCGTTTCCTATAAGTAATCTGCGGATGGGAATGATGGGTAAACAGACTGGTGATTATAGTCCTCTTCGCATGGCTATTAAGCGCAAGTACGCCGGCAAAATGACGTCAGGCGTTTGCCTTCCAAAAATGCGGTTTTTGTCCGTTTTGTATCCGTTGCGTCGTCTCAGGCAATTCCCTTTCAGCACCGTTGGGGGCGTGAGTGTGATATATCAACCTTATTTAAGGAAGACATTCGAAGATTTTTAGTGCACAATATGTTGGATGGCATCCTGGTTTTTGTACTAGCAAAAAAAAGGGGAAATCACGTAAGTTCATATACAATCGTATGGATTATTTGGTTTTCTTCTTGTTTCAGACCTTTTGTTGAGAAATACCGCCTTAATTACAGCAACAACGCTACAGAGTTTTTCCGTCGCCTCAAAGGAATAATAGAACAAGGCCGGGCCTGGAAACCAAGTGCGAAGAAAAAACGTGAATTCAGGTAATCTTATACAGGTTGTCCCACACACACAAAAAGTCGAAAACCATTAATAAAGGTACATGTATATTGCATGTGATTTTGGGAATATTTTCAAATCACTTCTTCAAGTCAGATAACCAATATACCATACAAACTTCATTTCATTCAAATCGATGTATTGCAACAAGCGCTATGGTTTATCGAACTCAAGGGTTGAAAATCGCCTTGGGCTACTTTCCTTGAAAGTGAGAAAGTGCAGTTAGAGAAACACACGAAGGATTTATTTCCTTTGTTCAAGAGTAACGTGTGACTTATTCTACCGGCTTTGGTCTATAAACTTTTGTCCCAAGTGGTTTTTCAAGTCCCGTAGACATCCTAATGAAACCAAGTCAAAACATTTGGAAGACCAATTTTTCTTATCAAATACATTTGACACAATTTTGAATACTACCCCCATTTTTTTTCTGAAAACATGCCCGATTCGACTATGGGACAACCTGTAAAATAGCCAAAAGACATAAAGTATAAATGTACCACCATAATCTTTTAGTCCGGCAGCCAGAGAAGTGAAGAATTTTCATGATGACATCTTCTCAGGGTTGGGCAATTTGTGATATCGATTATTTACTAAGTGAATAAGCTAAGCTAGCTAAGCTTTTTCAAACAGCGCCATCTTTAGTTATGCACGGAGACCATGATCACTCCCTATCCAGGAACTATTCTTAATATATAAATACCCCTACAGTATGTGTTTTGTTTTTATTCCCAGTGTCGAACTTCGGCGGGAGTTGGGAGATGCAGGTAACATTGGTGTTTTCTCGCTGACTAAGAATAACGCCCAGGTGGGAACAACGATGCGCTTTTCCATTGTTGGAGCTAATCGTAACATTTCTCAAACCCTCTGGAATTACTTGCCAGAGGTGAGTAGAAGGACATGCATTATAATCCTGAATTGAACATTCAGTATGTTTTTTGTGGATTTTTGTTTTAATTGTGTTTTTGTCTGTAATGTGATACATCATTGGAACGATTGTGTATGTTTTCCTAAGGATGCGAACTTTAAATCAGGCCAGTTTCAGAGCTGCAGCGTGGTAGGATCAAGCGGCATCCTGAGAGGATCCGGGTGTGGGAAGGAGATCGACCGATCGCAGTATGTTGTGAGGTGAGCTTGATTCCTTCTTCCACCGATGCACCTTAGATCCTCCTCTTCTCTTTAAGAACTCTCCCCTCTGTATCGAGTGGTTTTGCACTTTTCCCCGTTCACGGTTAGAGCATAATGACTGAAACAACGAAGTTAATGTTTCTTCTAAAAACTACACTTCTCTTCTAGAGTTACTCACTTCATAATTCAGATGGCGTGCACCTGCAAATTCTCTCTCGTCTAAATAAGAACAGTTTTATAACCCGAAAAGTCAAAGGACAAGAAACATATTGTGTTCACGCCTTTGTTATAGGTTGTTGTAGGAATCAATACTTGGCTTGCTTTGCTAAAATTGGACGTTGGTCCTCGTGCATAGGGGGCCTATTCTGTGCTGTGGACCTGTTTGGCATTCCTAAATTTCAATGAATTTATCTGGTACTTCTTGCGGTATTTATCGAGAAAGAAAATTAAGCAATTTCTTTAATACAATCATTAATTAACTTGACTTTAGCACCCGCCTATTAGATTTTAGCTGAATTGCCAACGTTTTATTTCGGGGCTCTCAGGGGGTGCGCATGGGAGAAAATTCACAAGCTTGCTCGGATATGATGGGACTTTGAACCTACGACCTCCTTTGTTCTATTACAGAAGTCATCACCACTCGAATACTGAGCTCGCCATTGTTGGTTTGCCGGTTCGCATCTTGACCTCAATTGAAATCTTGGAAGATTAAGATTTGAGTTTGAGAGATGTTTTTGTGCCCTCCCCCAGGCGTGCGAAAAACTGTAATCAGAAGATTAGTACGATAAGACCCGAACCAACAACCGTCTGCTGGTTGGAGCTGACGCCTTACTTGTAAAGATGCCATACAAATTGCGTAAACTTATGTGATTTTGAAGATAAAAAAATGGAATCTTCTGCAGGTTCAACGTCGCCCCGGTGGAGGGATTTGAGGCAGACGTTGGAAGCAAGACAAATTTTACCACCTTGAATCCTAGCTATGTAAAATACAGGTAAGTTTCCTTTGCAACCTAAAGTATTTAAGTTCTCCGGAATAGCAAAATCATCTCCAAAAATTAAATAAACATATCTCTCTATTCATAATAATATTATTGTAAAATTTGCCATAAATTTCAAAAAATTATGGCTGGGGACACAAGAGTAACATCACACCCCTTTCTTCTATTCCTGCAAAGGCCTCCTATATATATATATAACACTTTCATACAATAATCTCCCTTTTATTTCAGGTTGAATGGGTTAAAGACACAAGCCGACCGTTCGCAATTCGGCGCCATTCTCAAACAGTTCATCGGCAGCAAACTGTGGCTACCAGCGTTTGGTGTCTCGGGATACTTTCGTGTCATGCAGTTAACCGCTGCTGCTGCCTTCGATTCCAAGATGGTCCAGCCGCTAATTGGGCATCCCGAACACCACCACTCCGTCACCAATCTTTGGCGAAAGATGGCAATGAGGAAACGTGCGTTGCCATCAACGGGTAAGTATGGTGGCACAGAAGGGACAAAATATTCAGCAGATTTGTTTTTGGCAAGATATTTCAAAGTTGCTCGTGTTGAAAAGAATCGGGGAGACATTGAGTTAATGTGGTGGCGGGGGCGGCGGAACCGGGGGGGGGGGGGCTCTTGCACCCCCACCCCCGATTTTCCCAGGCCAACAAAAGTGCCCCTGTTGCGGTTATAAATGTACCCTCTCGAGATGAAAACAAAGCTACCCCTCAAACGCACACGTATGAAAGCATATGATCAAGCTGCAAATGAAATTAAAATAAAATCTTCTCTTTTGTAATGGAAAACTGCCTCACAAAAACAAAAGTGCCCCTCTCGCATTGATAAGTTGTGCACCTTCTCGAGATGGAAAACTACCCCTTAAAAGCACAAGAACCCTCTCGCAATTATAATTGTGCCCCTCTTGAAATGGAACATTGGCCATCAAAAATAGTGCATCTCCGATAGCTTCTGGAGATGGAAAACTGCCCCATCGAAAGCACAATTTTATTAGTGCCCTGCTCACAACATTAAAACTGTGCCCCTCTCATGGAAAACTGCCCTTTAAAAATGATAGTGTTCCTCCTCACGCGAAAACGATGGTCACTGAGCTGGCCACCAAAAGCAACAGTGCCCCTCTCGCGATAAAAAAAATTGTCTCTCAACATTTTCTGGCGGACCCAGAGGGCTTACTGACAGGGCCGGGGCGGAGGGTGTGCGGTGTTCTGAAGGTCTAAGGGTGGATGCAACATTGCCATGCCTCTCGCTCCTCCCCCCCCCAAAAAAAAATATGAACCCAAATTGTTTTTTGTGACGTCACAAAAGGCAGCCACTACGTACCCCATTATCTTTTCACCAAAATTGGTTAAAGTGGACAGAAATTGCCTCAGATCGCTCCACAGAGCATCTAAAATCCACCCGGGGGGGGGGGGCCTTCAGCAGGCCGCTGGCCCCGAACCCCGCGCCGTGAATTTGTGAACCCACTGCGCCCCCCCCCCCCAATAAAAAGTTGTGTTCTTGATCCGCCATTGCGGAGGCCGAAGGGCTCTCACTTTCACACCGACGGAAGGTGCCCCCTTTTTCTTGATAAGTGCCGTTTTTTGGTGTTGTCTCCCAGTTTGAAAAGCGTTCGGCCGCCCCTGTGGGGTGGGGAATTCCCGTGCTTTCAATTTGTCAAATATCAATTATTGATATTTTTGAGAAATGGACCTCAGGCCCGGGAAGGGACAGGGTGGATTTTTTTTTTGGGGGGGGGAAATTTGCTAATTCGTTCGCACGAATTGCTAACTCGTTCGCACGAATTGCTATTTCGTTCGCCCGAATTGCTACCTCGTTCGCACGAATTGCTATTTCGTTTGCACGAATTGCTATTTCATTCGCACGATTTCCTAATTCGTGGGAACGAATTGCTAACTCGTGCATCCGGGAACGCGTTAGTAATTCGTGGGAACGAGTTGGTAATTCGTGGGAACGAATTAGAAATTCGTGCGAACGAATTAGCAATTCGTGCGAACGAACTAGCAATTCGTGCGAACGAATGAGCAATTCGTGCGAACGAATGAGAAATTCGCACGAATTGCTATTTCGTTTGCACGAATTGCTATTTCATTCGCACGATTTCCTAATTCGTGGGAACGAATTGCTAACTCGTGCATCCGGGAACGCGTTAGTAATTCGTGGGAACGAGTTGGTAATTCGTGCGAACGAATTAGTAATTCGTGCGAACGAATTAGCAAATCCCCCCCCCCCAAAAATTCTACCCTGTCCCTTCCCGGGCTTCATAGTATTCTGTTACAATTCTGCCCAACAGGTATGTACTTCATCTTATCCCTCTTCGATGTCTGTGATCAAATCAATGTCTTCGGTTTCTGGCCGTACGAGACAGCAATCAACGGAAGCGAAGTTCCCTACCACTACCACAATGCCGCCATCGGAAAGAAAACAATACACGATTTTGACACGGAGTTCCAGACCTTGGTCAATCTGTACGAACAGGATATCATCAAGATGCATTTAGGTTCTTGTTTGGAATTTTCATAAGTTCCCTCGTCAGGGTAGCGAAGGGGGGGTTACTAGGCATTTAAAGTCTCAGTCGGCAAACGAACCTTAAAATTAGGATTCTCCTGTCATTCAAAAAATTCTGGTGTAATTTTCTGGAAAATATGCTTTTTTGAATAGTGCCTCCTAGTGTCAGACTATACCAAACGGCAGATCGAGAGAGGGGGGAACGGGGGCCATGGACCCCTTCCCTCAAAAACGAAACCCATAATTTTTTTTTAAAGTGGCGTCGCAATAAAGGCTGGCACTGTGTACACCACCATCTTTTTCCTCCAAAAGATTTGGTTAAAGTGGTCAGAAATAGCCTCAGATCGCACCACAGAGCATCTAGTATCCAAAATGATTGGGGGCCCTTAAGCGAGCCCCGAACCACACATCGTAATTTTGGGACCCACTTTTTCGGTGACCAAAAAAATAAAAAAATTGTGTGCTGGATCCGCCCTTGACTATACCCAGTATTGGCGCTCCACATACGGCACAATATGTATAGCAAAACAATAGACTGTGCAAGTCTCGCCAGTCCACGTTCACTTGGTATGTTAACGTCTTGGTACCAAACACTGACTATAGTCTAGGCACAGTTTCCTGTGTTTGAATTCACCCACTTGTTGTCCGCATGATTGATTGAGAAGTTGAGGTCAACAACTTTAATTTTGTAATACAAGTCATCAATTCGCAACGTCTTCAATTATGTCGTAAATTGTAATACAGTAACTTTCTTTTCTAATTTAAGATGGAATTTTGCGTCGGGGTGATATAAATCAAATTAGGTTTTGCCCTTCACCGACGTTTGAACACTGTATACTCAGTGTGTTACCTCCCGAGTGAAAGTTGGAAAAAATCACTCGGGTGGGACTCGAACCCACGACCTCCTGCTTTCTAGTGCAGATGTCTTACCACTCGACCACCAAGCTAACGGGATCGACTGGCTGGTTCGAATCTGATGTACATAGCAGCGGGTACCGCATAAACTATTATAAATAATTATGTTATAATAGTTTATGCGGTACCCGCTACTATGTACATCAGATTCGAACCAGCCAGTCGATCCCGTTAGCTCGGTGGTCGAGTGGTAAGACATAGATCCGCACTAGAAAGCAGGAGGTCGTGGGTTCGAGTCCCACCCGAGTGATTTTTTCCAACTTTTACTCAGGAGGTAACACACTGAGTATACAGTGTTCAAACGTCGGTGAAGGGCAAAACCTAATTTGAACTTTCTTTTCGTTCGAAATACCCATTTATTGCCCTCGATTGGATTGGTCCGGTCAGGACACAAAATAAATGCAAAAATAGGATGTTATATACACGTTGTAGGTCATAATATAAGTGGTGCCCGGATGTGCTGCATTCTTGTAAATTCTCGCAGGTTTTTGAGGTCCTTTTACAAAAGCACATTAAAGAAAATTTGCATACAAACTTTGTATTGCATTATTATTTAAACAAAATAATTACTGTCTGAAATCAAGGCCTTTTTAGATAATTCTGATACTTTCGAGGTACATTATCGGAACTATAAAGCGGGATTTAAGTGACGTTTACCATACATACATTTTTATTGCAAGTTTGGAGTCTTTCAGTGTCTGTTTTTTGTGGTTCGTTTGTTTCTTTTCATATTTCAACACATTTTATTGTGTTATTTCGCCACAAGCTAGGCTAATTAACAATTGTTTAAAAGTTATTTGTTATTCGTTAGGTTAGATATTTAAAACATTTATTTTTGTCACATCCATATGTAATATTTATTTCTGTGCATACAGAATTGCACCTAGTAAACCCATAGTCAGTTCCAATCTTGTACGAACTTCGTCAAGCGCATGTATTTATATGAAGCCCAGGAAGGACAGGGTAGAATTTTTTTTGGTAATTTGCTAATTCGTTCCCACGAATTACTAATTCGTGCGCACGAATTGCTAATTCGTGCGCACGCATTGCTAACTCGTTCGCACGAATTGCTATTTTGTTCCCACGAATTGCTATTTCGTTCCCACGACTTACCAACTCGTTCCCACGAATTACTAACGCGTTCCCGGATGCACGAGTTGGCAATTCGTGCGAACGAAATAGCAAATTCGTGCGAACGAAATAGCAATTCGTGCGAACGAAATAGCAATTCGTGCGAACGAAATAGCAATTCGTGCGAGCGAAATAGCAATTCGTGCGAACGAGTAGCAATTCGTGCGAACGAATTAGTAATTCGTGGGAACGAGTTAGCAATTCGTGGGAACGAATTAGCAAATTACAAAAAAAAAATCCACCCTGTCCCTTCCCGGGCTTCATTTATTTAGAACATATCCGAGTGCAATATGTGGATTCAATGGCCAGGACTTTTGAGTGCAGTAGTTTCACGATTAAAATTTTTGGCTTGTCATTGTCTGTCTTGCCGTTTTTGTATTCATGATGTGCATGCGATTGTTTTGTATACCCGCGCACTGGTGCGGCTTTTTTTAAGCCCCTATACGACGCACTTGTCCAGTCTTGATTCTTTGCAAATATGCCTACAATCCGACCAAATTTTGCTGTATTCATGATGTACATGCGATTGTTTTGTATACCCGCGCACTGGTGCGGCTTTTTTTAAGCCCCTATACGACGCACTTGTCCAGTCTTGATACTTTGCAAATATGCCTACAATCCGACCAAATTTTGCTGGGCCCTCCATCCCCCGGCCATCGGCCAATGTTGCGCAGAGATGACAGCTGGAGATGACAACATTGACCGGGGAGCTGGGTACCAGGGGAGGGTACAGCCGTGTGGTTGCGAAGGGCAATTTTTAAAGGTCGCGTAACACTTTTTTGAATGAAACTACATGTCACAGATATGTTCATGTTTGTGGGCGAATTCTTTGAAATTGAAAAATAGGCCTGACTAGGTACCTTTTTGAAAGCTGTTACACTGGCGTTTGCAATATCTGTCAATCTTTTCAAGCCATACGAGTATCAATAAGGTTCCTACCCAAAAGGTGTGCAGTAAAAATTCGGTGAAAATCCTCCTTCTTGAGTTATTAAATGATAAATTTAACCCTTTTTGCCGGCTTGCATTGGTCGATACCTAGCCCGACTGCGTCTGGCCGTACAGTACTCGCAAGCTCTGTAGTACGGCCAGACGCCCGATGCTTCCACAGAGACTGAATTTTTTTGGCCGCTGATGTAGCGATTTTGCTACATCTTTTGATCGAGATTATCTTTTCATCCAGGACACAAATTTCCAAAGTTAAGGTTCTTAGTCGTAGAGCAACTCATACCTTTTCGAAAAAACGTTCTTTAGTCTCAATATTTTCATACATCTGGCCACAAGACGAATATCAGTCATCAGATTCCACAAATATCGTCCCGAATATGCTCCCCCATGCGATTTCAAAATGGCGGCCGCGCTGTAATGTATGCATTATGCGAGCGCGCTTGGGCAAGACAATGAATATGTATTATTTAGTTCATGACCTCGTGTTTGTATGGCCAGCCGCGCCGAGTGTCCGACAAACGTCATAAACTATGATGCATATTCATTACTATTTGCGTTTATATCATCGCAATGCATTCTATTAATCCTGTCAAGTTTTCCTGGCATGTTTGCCGATGCCTTTTGGCTATTTTGTACCCATTTCTAAAAACAAAAAAAGCACATTGTTCTCCTCAAATGTCTATTTCCCGAAACAAATAGGCTATTGACCAGGTTAGCAGTACATGTACAATAGATTGTAACACGTGCTGGAGTCGGAGCTTATAGAAAAGGGTACGGATAGTAAACACTTTAAAACTTACAAAAACAGGTTTTTTGCACCTTTTCCCCTGTTCAGTTATGCTTTAAAATACATTTGGGCACAAGGTAAAACATTCTCACGTTATAACACTTGTTATTTTACCCTTTTGTGGGCGTGACCTAAATATGTAAATTAGGGTGTGATTAAGAGCAATCTGATTCAAACGAGGTCAATTTGTAATTTTGCTGACAAATGACAGTGGTACTGGTATGTATATAAAGAAACGTGCCATGGGGGACACACGGGCATGTAGGGATGGATGGAGAAACATATGAGAGAGATAAAGAGTAAGGAGGGGGAGATACATAGGGTATTATGCTTGGGTAAGAATGGAGGGGAGGGGGTTGGGAAGGAGGGGGCACAGGAGGAAAACAATACCCAATTTTTAAGTCTCCTATGATCCCACTTCTTGCCACTCTCTTTGTCCCCCAGCCTGATATCTCTCTCAACCCCCACCCATTTCGTTTATCCTCGCCCAAACAAATTTCTTTTGTCCGTTGCCGGTCATTTCTTCTTTATATGATGTTCACCTGTCGATCTCTCCTCAACTCCAATAATCCCTCTTTTGTGTGCTGGCCCCATACATTTTTCTTGTAAATGCCATTTTGAGTTTTAATAATATCGTATTTATAAACGCTGTGTACTCACACGAATTTAATACACCTGCCACTTTAATACGTCCCTTCTTCCTTTCTATTCTCTTCGGTTCCGATAGAAATATTTAACTTTGTAGCGTTTTCCTCGTCAGGTGACTCCGGTCGAATTTCTATAAACTGACTTGTTGGGTACCATTGCCCCTAATTTCTCCTTTGCTCCCGGTGCATTCAAACGCACCTTTCTTGTTCCGTAGTGATGGGAAAAACACTTGTTGCTAGGATGTATGACAGAAAACTGTGGGGACAGCAGGAAGTCGACATATCTCATTCCTAACATTTGCATAAAAAATTAAAAAGAAACTTCCCCATAACGTGGTAACATCCCGCCCGAAGTGTGTATTTACGTGCAATCGTCGAAATTGTCCCTCTTCTGTTATTATTATTACTTTTTAGGAAGACATCCCATTTGTTTTGTATTTGTTGAACCCAATAATGTTCAACGTCCCCTATTGAATGCAGAAACAAACAAGTTTGTCTAGTTGGAATCTGACGTACGGTACCAGCAGGCAGGGCCGCAGGAATGCTTTCCAAACTGGGGGGGGGGGGGGGGGGGGGCAACACCAAAAAGGGGCAACTGCTCAGAAAATGGGGCACCTTCAGTCGGTGTGAAAGTGAGAGCTCTTCGGCCTCCGCAATGGCCGATCTGAAACTCATTTTTTTTTTTGCAGGAAAATGTGGTCCCCCAATAAGTGAGTCCACAAAATTTCGGCACGTTGGGTTCAGGGCCCGCTTAAGGGCCCGGAATAAAATGGATTCTAGATGCTCTGTGATGAGATCCGAGGCAAGTTCTGACCACTGTAACCAATTTGTTTTTAGGAAAAGATGGTGGTGTACGTAGTGGCTGCTTTTTTGTGACATCACTAAAAATACAATTGGGTTCGTTATTGTATTTTATTATCACTAAAAGTACAATTGGGTTTGTTATTGTGGGAAAGGCATGGGCCCATTATCCCCCATTCTCTTGGATCCGCCCTTGGACCTTCGGCAAACGGCACATTATACGTCCTCCGCCCCCGCCAGTAACCTCTGTGGGTTCCCCCATGAATTTGACTATAGTTATGTAGAGAGACCAATTTTTTTGGGTGGAGGGGCACTTTGATGACCTGGAAAAATCTGGAGGGGGAGGCAAGTGTCCCGTTCTGTGGCCCCTGCCAGCAGGGACTGCGCCAAAACTATTGAAGCGATGGAATTTGCATCGGAGTGATGTAAATCAAATTAGGGGTTTTGCCCTTCATCAACGTTTTTATTTACATTATAAAAACTGTACATGTAGGCCCACACAGGCCCCAGAGTATAATATCACAGTTATTTACCAAAATACGTGCCTATTTCAAAACATGAC